CAGCCTTCGACATTAAGTTGGGTAAGCAGGGGCGAAAGGCGCAAAGGGGAGTTTTGTCGAGACCAGGCAATTTCAGGAAGGTTGAGATCCCCAACAAATAATTTGTTCGGGTGAGGTAGAGCTTGAGTGTGAGAAAGAAGCGCAGATAGACGATTAATCGAGCTAATGGAATGTGGAGGGGGTATGTACAAACACCCTCAAACAGTCATGGTACCGGCGAACGTGGGACCTTGCGAGACAATCAGTACGACGTGTGCTACAACGTATACACAGTCAACCATTAACATACTAGGTATGACGAATTCTACGGCTTCTGCTTCGTCTGCAGGGATGTTTGCTGCAACGGTAGGAGGCTTTTCCATACAAAAGTAGCGAATTGCTGCTCTTTTTGGAGTCTATACGGACGAAAACAACGAAACGTTTCGTCTCGTATTCTTTCAAAGCGACTTGAAATGCATCGAACGAGAAAAAAGTTGACGAGCTAAATTCTCCACAAAATCATCCTCCTCATTCACGTGCTCAGCCATAGCAGCCATTTAAAATACGAATATCCCGGGTCTTGAATATTGTGTGGATTGAGTAGATTTAGGCAACTTTCAACAAAACTGCGGCCGTTTAGGAAGATCTATACGCCCGACGGTAGGAGGCTTTTCCATACAAAAGTAGCGAATTGCTGCTCTTTTTGGAGTCTATACGGACGAAAACAACGAAACGTTTCGTCTCGTATTCTTTCAAAGCGACTTGAAATGCATCGAACGAGAAAAAAGTTGACGAGCTAAATTCTCCACAAAATCATCCTCCTCATTCACGTGCTCAGCCATAGCAGCCATTTAAAATACGAATATCCCGGGTCTTGAATATTGTGTGGACTGAGTAGATTTAGGCAACTTTCAACAAAACTGCGGCCGTTTAGGAAGATCTCATACGCCCGAAAAATTACCATCAAATGTTAATACTTTATGTTAAAGTTCTCCTCCTTCAAACCACGGTTTCAGAGAAATTTTCGGCGTGCGTCTAGCCCACGGCGATGACATGTGATGATGAACTACAAGACGTAGTCTGTGCGGCACTCCACATGGGTGCTGTACGATACCAAGTTGACTTCCTGTCACTTTCTGTTCCTAACTAGGGACGCGTCTTCCAGCCTCTCATCCCTATGTCTGAGTTAGTTGAAAAACTATTGCCAGTTGCGACCAGGACAGTTTGCTTTTTACCACCAAAAGACCGCCTATGCTCTTTTAAACTCATCTTGTTGCCCAATTTTTCGATCAGCAAACCTTCATCTTGGAGGCGCGTGATTATACACCCCAGATATAGGATGCGAGCCGGCACGACATCAAAAAACACAAACAAAAAATCCTCGCCAACCAATCTCCGCCTAGGCCGCCGGGAGAAAACTGCAAAGGCCTTCCGTTTCCACCTCGGGTAGCCTGCCAACTTCTTATCAAACGGCGTTTACCCCACCGCAATTGGACTAATGGTCTACCCGTTTCAACTATGTTCCGCCCACTGCTAAGAAAAATCAACTGTTGGCCAATATACTCATTCCAGATGCACAGGAAAGGTTTCTTAATAACATAATTATAGATCGTTAGAAACACCATCTCCTTCATGTTCCACCATCGGGCTGATCAGCCAAAATCACTGCGATCGGGAGTCCAGAGCATGTGCCGGCGGGCATATCATCCTGAAACCGGAGCTACTATCACATCTTAAAAGATTTCCGCGTCTAGGCTAGGGAAATTTAGAAGTCTCATCGGTCAATGCTGCGGCGAACAAAGCAGCTCAGTCCTGCAATCCGAGGTCCGCCTCTCTTCAAGGCCAAAATCTATGGCGATTATTTTTACTGAACCACATTGATGAATTTTACCGCCTTGGTTTAAACTTCATGTACTGACCAATTTACATGTGGCGTAAACTTCTTATGGCACGGAGCTCTTATCATCAAATAAATTTTTGATGATCATCCGATAAGTTTCTTACCTCTGTTTTTTCCACTTATAGTTACGCAAAAAAACATCCACAAAACGAGACGGAAGAAGTTAAAGGAGATAAAGAATAAAAGAAGTAAGACAAAAACAGCAACGATGGAATGAATGTACATATATCCGACGCCCACTAGGTGATGGCATTATTTCAGCGGACTAGCCTCAATAACAACAGTCACTTCCGTCGATCAATCGTCCTCAAAGACT